CATCCAAAGTAACAGCAGTAGGTACTTTCTCAGCTTCATTGTCTTTTTCCATAAAAGGTCTTCCAGCTTCAAGAAGCCATCGTTTCACATCTTCAACAACATCATCATTACATTTTGTTATGCGTCCAAACCAGTCAATATAAGCGTCTTGTTTATCTTTAGGAATCAATAAAATGAATGCATCATGAGCTACTTTGGCATTTTTATACAAATCATTCAGTTTTTCCAAGTTAAGCTGCACAGTTTTTGCATTATCATCCTTTTTCATCAATTCTTTAATATCACGAGTTAACCCTTTAATCTTGTTAACATGAGCTTTTCGCTCTTTCTGCAAAGTTTCCATTTTAAAAGCAAGCGCTTTAGCCGTCAGTTTTGCAGATCTTTTTTCTTCCAGTTCATGTTCGGCTTCTTTTATTTCACTCATCGTCACTTTTTCACATGCATCAAAACAACATTATATTCCACAGCTTCAAAGATAGATCACAGCCAATACTTTTCGTCTGTGTAAACCATTGCGCAGCAGCGTCACAGGCTGTCAAAACCAGAGCAGCGTCCTCCAGCTTGCCAAATCAAGCACACGCACGCACACAACGCAGATCAAACCCATGTCCCCAATGGACAAGCGGTGACACTTACAAACTGTGTTCAAAACATCCAATAATACACAGAGTGAATCCGCGTGTCCTACCGCTTCTGAAGTGTCTGTTGCGCTGCGTTCCACCATGCCAGTGTGACGGTGCCGTTTCCAATTACTTATTTGAGAACTGCGTCCACTCATCTGAAAGCTCCGTGACTCCAAAACGTATATCCAAAAATCCTCTTCATTGTTCTGATGCGTGTAATAAAAGACAGTTTTTCTGTTGACTAAATGTTGCGACTTTCATCCGGAAATAAAGCCGCGGCCGGCTGAGTTGGTTGTGTCCCTGTGACACGCCTCCAATAATCCATAATGAGTCGTACTTGTACTTTGCGCATTTATTTTAAGAACAAAACAAAACAAAGTTTGCGCTTTCAATCAATTTACAAATAGCGCATGGATTAACTGGTGTGCCAAAAATTGACGGTCAACAGAAAAGTTTGCCCACAAACCACTCACCCAACAACACCTGCTGCGAACACCGAGATCAGGTAAATAGACTGTGACCACAACCACATGCCATCACCTGAGACGCAGGTAAAGCTACACACCTGTGCCACCATAACAAAAAGGCAAAACATAAACATTGACTTTGGCTCTTACACCCAGAACAAGAAAATCTCCTTCATGTTTTTCTGTTTTATCTTCAGCTACTTTGACACAAAGGCCTCTGCTGTGATGGTCACACCTTTGATAAAGTCTGGAAAGTGTCAGCTTCCTTTTTATAGATACAAAAATATTTAAATGTACTGATCTGAATTATAATATCTGACTGTCTGAGGCAAAATTTCCCAGATACAAATCAAATTGAATTGAATTGAATCAAATCGTGGATCGAATCGATTCTAGAAATCAGTGACCATACCCAGCCCTAGTGTTTAGTGGTCACATCAACAAAACCTCAATACATCACATCTGTTATAGCTGCCTCTCATTTCTCCCCAGTGGTGAAATTTGATTAGATCAACTCAGAGAAGGGGGGGCTTATGGTGCTGTTGCTGAACAATATGCAAAGGTGAAAGGAACGGGAAAAATATAAAAATAAAGTGTAAATTTATTTCTTTGGGGATTTTATTCTACACGAGTGCTAGGTTACACCAGAAACGTCAGACTCTCAGGTTAAAGCTCAGAAAACTATTTCAAAAACCATCAAACAGCTAAAACAGAAAATCAGAGCAGGAAAACAGATTCCACACAAAGATGCAAACACAACACGTGGATTGTTTACCCGACCGCACGTACACGCCGTCGGGGCTGAAAGCAGACATCTCATAGATTCTGAAGCTGCAGGTTTCATTGCGCCGACCAAAATTCACTGAACCAGCAGCAAAAGAAGATCAAACTACGCTTCAGGAAAATCTCCTTCATGTTATTCAGTTTTATCCTGAGTTGTTTTGACACAAAGGCATCTGCTGTGATGCTCACACCTCTGTTGAAGTCTCAGAATTGTCAGGGTTTTTTTTTTTTTATAACTAGATAGATTACACTGAGTTGGTAATGCAAAGAAATAATGAAATAATTTTGAATTAAACATTTTTAATTTACAAGGATTATAGGGTTCTTTCCACAGTACATATCCAAGATAAATGATCATAATTATAATATTTCTGACTGAGTCAAAATTGAATTGAATTGAATCGGGTATTGAATTGAAATTGGGACCTCGTGAATCAGAATTGAATAAGTTGTAGAAATCATTGATGATACCCAGCCCTAATCGTAATATGGGATGTCTGGTGATTCCTATCTCTCCTGAAGTGGGCTTGGTACAAGCTGTGCAGCAGCAAAAAGCACACATTCCCAAAAATTAGAAGCCTCTACCTGCAAAACAAAACAGGTTATATGCTGCAGGGTATCAGTCTGTCACACACTACAAGAACAATACAGACAGCACTTAGATCAGAGATGTCACCCTGGTGGACTCCCTGAACAGTTCCTATGCATGATTGGACAACCTTAACACAGAATCCCATACTACATTCTCCCATGACCCTGCGGACTCTGCTTTACAAGTGACACACAGATCTTGAAAGCCCTAAAGCAGGTGAACCCCCGTAAGGCAACGAGCCTGACCATATCACCGCATGACCAAGAGTTCTTAAGTAATATTAATACTTTAATTTAGTAATAATACTAAATTAAATAAAATTAAATTGACTGAAGGACTTAAGGGTAGTGGCAGTCATGTCAGTGGCCATGAAGAGCTTTGACAAACTGGTACTGTCACTCATCAACTCTTTGGTGCCACTACTTGGTCAGTACTTAATACTCCTTGATATTACTCTCTACTTGTAGAGAGATGCATATCACTTCATGGTGTAGGTTATGTCATAGGGTTTTAGAGGTGTTTGTGATTACGATGTAGGTACATTGTAACCAGTATGTAACAAAATATATAAACAATGGGCAAATCAGAAGACTTCAGGAAATGCAGGGGCCTAGAGGATGGGTAACCACAATGAAAACACAACCACAAATGATGAAGCAATGATTCAACTGTATTTGAAATTTGTGCACTGTATTGCATTTGACAATAATAACCAAAATTGTGTGTGCGCGCACATATACCCAAAATAAAATAAAAGAATGTCAGACCCGGGTCTTTTAAAGTGTCAATACAATCCAGTTCAGGCCTGTTTGGTGATCTGGCGATTTATTGGTGTGAGTTCAGTCCACGATCGATGTATGGTTTGCACAGTTTTATCCTACCAGGCAAGCAGACTTCAAGATTCAGTTCTATATGGGCTGTGGCTCGCCATCTATTGCAATGGAAGATCATTCCTCCTCTACAGATTTCCACAAAGTCTATAATCCAAAGTTCTCCGTGGAGTCTCAGCTCCTTTCTCCAATTCCAAAATAACCTGACCAGTGCAAAGCACTTCGTATTCATAAAACTAGCTTCGTATTTCCAAATCTGGCGGCTAATCAAGCAGACACCAACAGCTTCGCTGTTTCATCAGTTACCACGTTTCTCTTACAGGTACAGTTATGGCGCGTGTGGTCTAAGCAGCCTTAACAGCACAACCAAACATGAAAATACAAGACGGGACAAACAATCCCAGTGGTTGAACTGCATTTGTGTCCATAACCTTTAAAAAACAAAAATTAATAAATAACAAAAATAATGCAGTTCCATACAAAATAATTTGGGTTTTTTCTTTAGAGTCTCTCTCCAATTGTGGGTGTTTTCAACTGAACAGAATAAAACCTCTTTAATAATAATTACAATAAAGTCTCTACGTGCATATGTTTGCCACTGGGCTACAACATCATTGTCATGGTCCTGGGTCATTTTGACCCAGTGTTCTTAGTTTTCCTGTGGTTTTGTATTTTGTTCCTTATGTTCATTGGATTGTTTGGTTTGGTATTTGGGTCCCCCCTGTGTCCATGCTGTTATTGTGGTGTTTGTTCTGGTACCGTGTTCCCGTCCTTTGTGTTCTGTGTTCTCCTCATCCCCTCGTGTATTCATCCTTGTTCTCTGCGTCTCTCTCTCTGTGCTCATCTCTGTGTACTGTGTTGTGTTCAAGGTCCGCATCTTGGTGTCAGTATTTTCAGTTTCGTGTCCTCCCCGCTCTGTCATGAGTAATTGTCCTCAGCTGCGTTCCCCGTGTGTTCCCACTTCCCTCATTACCTTCTGTGTATTTATGTCAGAGTGTCCCTTTGTTCCGTGTTGCGTCATCCCTCTAGGTTGTGTGCATTTCCCGTGTCTTCCCAGCGCCTCAGCTTCAGTTTCTCCCAGTATAGTTTTGTATGACTTCTTATGTTCCTGTTAATAAAGACCTGCCTTTGAGTTCATCCCCGTGTGTCTAGAGCCGTGCATTTGGGTCCTCTCTTGCCTTCACACAGCCGCCGCATGACAATCATAGGTTAAAAGCTTATTGGCCTAAGTGATAAAATCGGGAGCAATGAGAAAATATTCCAGCTTCCACTTTGGTGATATTGGGTGGCTGTAGCTCAGGTGGCAGAGCAGGTCAGCCACTAATCAGAAGGTCGGTGGTTCGATCCCAGGCTGCCTCCTAGCTGCATGCCAAATATCCTTGGGCAAGATACTAACCCCATGTTTACCTACTGGTGGGGGTCAGAGGGCCCGGTGGCGCCTGTGTCCGGCAGCCTCGCCTCTGTCAGTGCGCCCCAGGGTGGCTGTGGCTACAATGTAGCTGCCATCACCAGTGTGTGAATGGGTGAATGACTGAATGTAGTGTAAAGCGCTTTGGGGTCCTTAAGGACTAGAAAAGCGCTATACAAATGCAGACCATTTACCATTTACTCCACCACACAAGCAGTATTAATCCCCCAAAGTCGGTGTTTAAATTGTGATTTAAAAATCAGTGCTAAAAATGTGTCTTTGTCCTTGTGCTCACAGATGATATGAAACCACTGACACGCAGTTCCAGCTATGGGTTACTGCCACCTGACAGTAAGACTGTAAAATGTATATGTATGTGTGATGGAGGTGTACTATGTAATGTTTTGTGAAATAACCTTTCAATTAATGCCTAACATGTAAGTTTTTGTAATGATGCATGTTTATTGTATCCATTGCATTTACACTATATTTATAACGTCCCAGTCAGTTTGATATGCCTGTTATGTGCACTGGTTTCCTTCTGCATGCTGTGAAGAATAGCAAAGAAACATTTGCCAGCTTCAACTTATATATGGTCCAGTTGCATATCTGGTAATACTTGAACACAGAGGCCTTCTTTGCACTGATGTAAACAATTTGTCACCAGCACGAACACACAGACCCCCCAGTGGTCACAGGTCACACGTATCTCACGTACTCTCTGAAACTGTACACACATTGTGCATTAACCTCTCCCTGAGTACAGATACCAACTCCACATGTTTACTCGATGTTTCTAAAATGAAATTTATACGTGAATGTAGAAGTATGTGTAACTTGTGTGTCTGTAGAGTGTCTAGTTTTGGGGGCGCATGTAGGCATGTAGCTTTGTGTGTGTTACATGTGCATGCAAGTCGGGGTGCAGGTCTCTGTATTTGTTCTTCTGTGTCCGTATATGTGCTTCTACCTAAATGTCTCTGTGTGTCAATGTATCTATTATTATATGTGTATTTTTATAGATGTGTGTGGAAGAAAAACATCTCTGTTGTGGAATGATCTGCCCTTGCACGTTAGGCAGGCCTCTTCTCTTTCTGAGTTTAAAACTCTTCTCAAAACATATTTATTTGCTGAAGCCTTTGGTAATTTTTAAGGGGTTGACTCAATTTGTTTTAATATGTTTAATTTGATTTGATTTATTTAGTTATTATTTATCTTTGTTTATTTATGCTATTTGTATATGTACAGCACTTTGTGAATCCTGGTTTTATGTTAAAGTGCTTTATAGATAAAGCTGGTATGATATGGTATCCCAACGATTTTATTTTTAAAGTATGGATAGTCAATTAATTTCTTGTTCTGAATCTCTTCAGCTAATTGTCTGGAAATAAGTGACTTACTTTTCTTCCCAGTGTCCGAGCTGAGGGTGGTTCTGCTGGGGAACAAAGGGTCAGAGATGAGAGCAGTGGGGAACATGGTACTAAGAGAGGAGAAGTTCTGTACTGAAAAAGCAGAAGACTGCTGTGTAGAATTCAGTACACCCTTTAAGGAAAAACGAATAGTTGTCATTAACACCCCAGACCTGTTGCTTCCAAACATCTCTGAGGACAAACTGAAGAAACATGTAGAAACCTGTGTGAGGCTCTCTGCTCCTGGACCTCATGTGTTCCTGTTGGTTCTACAGCCCGAAGACTTCACTGAGGAGCAAAAAGTGAAGCTCTGCAGAGTCCTTGAAAAGTTCAGTGATCAGTCATTTGAACATTCATTAGTTCTGAAATCCACTCCCAGAGAAAAGAGCTCAGCTTTCATGGAAGAAGATCAACCCTTAAAGGACTTTATCAGAAAATGCAAATACAGACATTTGATGCTGAAGAACCTTGAACATGCAGAGCTGCTAACACACTTGGTTCAAATTGCAAAAGAGAACAATGGACACATGGTCTGTGATGTACTTGAGGATGCAGCAACAGGTCTGACTTCTGATCAGGAAACCATCAAACAAGAAAAAACATCAACCTCTCCATTTGGTCCAACAAAAGAAATTGGTAAGTTATTGTTTATGTCATGATCTCTGGGTCTAGGACCCAGTACTTTGAGTTTTGTCTCTTTTTAGTATTTCCTGGGGTTTCTGTTTATTTGGTTCCCAGCTTTGGTTTTCCTGGTTTCAGTTGATATTATATTTTCTTGTATTTTTGGCTCCCTTATCTTCCCTTGTCTGCCCTAGTCTTGTCTTGTCTCTATGTTTATTTACCTTTATATATCAAGACTGCATTTTTGTTTCCATGTTAGGTTCATATATGTGATTCTGCCATCTCTTTACTTACATTCTGTCTTACCTTGGTGATGTTTGGTCCTCTGTGCTTTGCTAACTCCTTTTGTCTTATTTTTGCTGATTTATTCTCTTCTATGTTCCCTGGCGTCCCAGTATTTTCTGTACTTGTCCTTTTTTCAAACAACAAATTTAGGAAACTGCTCACACCTGATTCGATGATGGGTGCATAGGGGAAAAAAATCTTAGTGAAAGACATTTAGTATAACATCACCAAAATGACCTGCTTACCATTATTTGTATTACAAAGTTTCGGTCCATGCAACCCTCGTCAGGTGCAGAGAAACAGGAACTTGTAAAATGACTATAAATTACTTTGGAATCATACTTCTTGTACTGTTGAAATAAATTATATAATAAATAAATAAAAATAAAAAAAATAAATTGTACTGTCTTTTACAGAACTCAAAGCTCCCAGTGAATATTCCCAACAGTGTAAGTAAATCACTGTTGGGAATATATACCATATA